ATCAGTTAAACACCCTCCGCCCAGAGTTGTTAGCAGCAAGAGGAGGTGTGAGGAAGAGATTACTGTGAACTGGGCAGTGAGCCAACCCCTTTGTATGTGTATTACTGGTAACCATGTGGGATGGGGACTGTGTGCATTCTAGAGGTGAAGAAACTGAGGCACAAAGAGGTTAAGCCACTTGCATAAAGTCACACTGTTAGGAAGTAGTAACTGAAATTCTGACCCAAGTAGGCTGACTCCTGTCAGACCGAGGCCAAGCTATTCACCACCCCACTCCACTCTGTCTTACTACTGTGGGGGTGGTTTAGAGAGATCAGATTGGAAAGCATCCAGTCCTTACTGGGAGCCCAATGAGTCTGCATCTCCCTGAGAGTCCAGCCGAATGCAGGGGTGATTTTGTCTGCATTGTTCACTCACTCCCTCGCTATTCACTCAGCAATGATGTATTTCATACATCTCTGTGCTTGGCACCATGGTGGGTATGGAAATACCACACACGTAGCTCCTGTTTCAAGGAGCTTGTCATCTAGAGGGAACAATGGAGAGCATAAAAATAGATGACTCTTGTTATATGGGAGCTAAGAAGAGGAGTGCAGGGGCTGTGAGGGCAGAGGATGGGGGATGGGCGCATATAGGCTGGAAGGTTCAAACCTTGTCCAGTAGGGTTTGCCCCACTGTGTCTTGCAGGGCTCTGTGGCAGCTGCATGACTCTGTTGTCCGCTGCCACCACCCTGATGAGGACCACCTCTATCAGGAGGAGATGCTGGAGAAGGCCCAGGAGAGGGTCGTGCATGAGGTGCACACAGCCTATTCTTGCCTGCCTGGCCTGCCAAGCTAAATGCAGCAGCTGCCGAGAAGCAGGGGGAGCCTTCAAAGCACAGACTGTGGGGGCTAACTTGGCTCCCACACACCCCTCACCCCTCGGAACTTTCATCCCCTCAGCTCTAAAAGGAGGCAGTTACATATTACGTTCACTCTTCCAGGAGAAAAGACAGGCCCTGAGACGTTCAGGACTGAGTCAGGGGCACATGGTGGGTTCATCTCAGTGCCCAGGCCCCTGGATGTCTTCCTCCCGGTATACATGACTGCCTGGGGAGAGGTGGTCCAGGCCGGCTTCATGCTCAAACATAGCAAGGGCAGCTGCTGCTCCCACCACGGCCGATGGGCTCTGCTGCCCCTGGGGCACTTTGCCTCACGAGCCTGGGGAGTCAGGACAGACTCTTGGCTCAGCCCTTGTGCACTCGCCCCATCAGAGATTCTCCCAGACTCAGCGCTCCAGGCTCATTGCTGGGGTCACTGGCATCTTGTGTGGAAGAAGAACAGAGAGTCCCTGATGGACCCCTTGGCTTCTGTGTAACTAGGGAGCCCAGGGCTCCATGTCCTGCTCTGAATGACAGTGGGGAGCCCAGGGAAAGTCTGTCTCGAGAGGCTCCCTTCTGTGGGGAGTGGGCAGCTGCTCCTCGCTGGGCAGGGCAAGTGGCTTGAGTGATGCCTCTTTTAATCATGGAAAATTCTGAGTCAATCTGGAAGCCCCATTGGCGGTCAGCTCCCTGTGGTCAATGTCCACCTCTGCAGCCCCAGCCCAGGCCTGGCTGAGCAGGATGCCAGTGCACCTCTGCATCCCAATATGGGTCCCTGTGCAAGGTCCTAGCTGGAAGGGTGCTCACCCTGCTCCTGAGGGTGCAGCCCATCATGCCCCTGCCCACCTCCCCATGCCCACCTCTCCATGACTGCAAGCTTCACCCCCATTACAGAGGCCAGGACCCCCCATCTCCTCTGGTTTCAGGTCTACTTTCAAGACATCCTGCGGCAGCAGCTGGCAGGTGCAGGCAAAGTCACATGTATGTCTGCGAGGTTGTGCACATGTCCCAGGACATGGCCTACACTCTGAAGCAGGTGATGGCTGCCACGCTGAGTCTGAGTGAGGAGAAGGTTGAGGACTACTACTTCCAGCTTCAGGTACGGCCACTGGTGTGTGCACTAGGGATGGAGGTCAAGGACACGGGCCAGGGATCCTGGACTCCAGAGTTAGGCTCAGAACAGTCCTGGACCTCAAAGGAATCCTACAGGTGCCTGGAGGTCAGGGCTGGCCAGGAAGTGAGAGGCCTGACTGTGCATCCTGGTCTGTTGCTCAATTCAACAGAGGCAAACGCCTTGCTTTACAAGCCTTCTCAGAGCCTCTAACACGCTATGTGCATCGTGACACTTCAAGAAGGGAGCAAGTACACAGCATCTCCTGGACGCATTTACCTCAGAGCCCACATTTTCTGGAGCCTCTGGAGGGACAGGCAGTAGGCAGGCCTTACTGTCCATCATAAGCTTGGGGAGATGCTTAGATGTCCACACCAGAGCAGGCGCCGATTGGAGGGAAAAAGCCCAGGTGAGGTTCAGCATAATATAAGCATGACAGATTAAGGGTCAGGAGTGTACGTTTGACAGGGAAGTGGGGAGCCCAGGGGCTCGTCCCAGCCTGGACCTGATGAATGAGCGGCGGCTCGAGCAGCAGAGCTGGCACCCTGGTCTCTGTTTTCCCGTAAAGAGCCAGAAGCGCTACCATGAAGACATCTTAGGTGCCAAAGTTCCCTACAAGCTGAGAAAGGATGGGGCCACAGGGCAGCCCAGCCATCCCAGAGCGCCATCAGCCCCAGGGAAAAGTTAAAGCTGCTGCCACAGAATTTAATGATGTAGAGCCAACTCTGGATTATGTCCTGGGGAGCTGGAGAGAAATTATATCCCCAAGCCTTACATCTTGTTTACCCATCTCCTTCTCCCCAACCCTTTACTTAAGCTGCTACCAAATAGTACCCTGGACTGAGTGGAACCTCATCTCCCTTGTGTCCACCCTTCCCCGGATAATGGAGATTTGGTGCCTCCCTGGTCCCTTGGAGATGAAATGCAATGCCAGGCAAGGCCAGTGGGTAAGGACGGATGTGGCTTCTGATTGCATTATTTGGAGTGACCAGCAGGAGGCGGTGGCGCACCACTCTGCATTTCACTGCACCATGTGCAGTTACTTGTGCCTCTGTGTTTAAGAAAAACAAACCCTAGTCTGTTCCTGATGGCCACTTGGGGCTTCCTTGTATAACTCCTTAATGGAGATATTGATATGAAATGCCTTTTATTTTAAATAAACACCTGGGGACAGGTGGGTGCCACAGTCTGGACAAACATCTCCCAAAATGGGTCGTACCAGCTTAATCACACTGCTTCTCCGAAATTGCCGCCAGGAACGAGGACAGTGCATGGAGATGTGTGCACGTCGGAAAGCATGGGATGCCTGAGGGAGCACAGGCTCACCTGCAGGGCCTGAGCCGATCTCCCCCAGGAGACCTCTCCCACGGGGCTGTGGCAGGTGCCATTGCACATGATGCCAGTTCTCTGGTGAAGGCCTGGACCACACCCTGACTTAGAAAGTCACTGTACTTTGCTCTGGGGCCACCTGTGTCATGAGGGTTTGGCGAATAACGATTTGGCACCTGGGTGAGAAAGCAAGTGAGGTCGGGCTGCATGTCAAGGACTCGGCAGAGAGTAAAGGACACACGTTTTCCCTGGAGAAGGCTTCTCAGGGGCTGAGCCAGGTTTCCTTCTCCGGTGAGAACGAGGAAGGAACTCAGCCGGGGGCTCAATGGGGTCTGGATAAATCTGTCTCCAGCCTGGCTTTGGCCTCCTTGTCATTGACTCCCTGCCCACTTCTCCCCTCGCTGCTCCTACTCAGATGGGGAGAGATGGGCATACCAGCCTCCAGTGTCCAGCAGGGCATCCAGGATGAGGTCAAGAATACGGTCACTCAGCCGGGTGCCTCCCACCCTCGAATGTGCACACAAACCCCCTGGGCTCTCGTTACAGTGCAGACTCTGACCCAGCAGGTCTGCCTGGGCCCGAGCTGCTGCGTTTCTAACAAGCTCCCAGGTTCTGCTGCTGCTGCTGGGCTGAGGACTACGCTTTGAGCCCCACCCTGGTTCCTGAGGCACTAGACTCTTGAGGGACTTGGCAGGATGTGTTGGCATCGTGTGGACACAGAGCTGGGCCCCCTGCACTGTCCCCGTGGCTGGCAGAACCCCACCCACAGAGCCACTTTCCCAACCACACTCCAACCACTAAGGGCGGGGGACCCACAGTGAAACCCCACAAACATGCCTCTCTTCTGAGTCAGCTTCTCCTGACCCCAATGCCACCTCCTGCCACTGGGACAAGGGGCTCTGATGGGCTGGCCTTGCCACCTGGCCTCCTGGCCCTGCCTCGGGCCCAAAGGGCTCTGGCCCAGCCCTTGGACCATTTTGGGAGCATGAAGCTGTTTCCTGGGTTCACCTCTGTTCCCAACATTCCTGCATCAGAGATTCCTGCCCAAGAGCCTGAGCCCGGCCTGCTTTCTCCCAGAACCTTGTGACATTGGTGGGGACCCACTGGAAGCAGGCGTAGATATCAGCACTCCCCACCCCCGATCAAAATGAGCCCACGCTCTCTCCTCCCACTCCCCTCACGCAGAGGGGATTCCAAATATCTCTAAATACATTTAATAAACCACAATCATCCCATACATGTGTACACACAAGTCTTTTTCTTTCTTTCTTTGAAGGACACGGGGAGTGGAGAGGCCCCAGCTGAGAAGGGTCCCGTCAGTTGGTGGAAACCAGCAGGGTGCCATCAGGGAGCTTTCCTGGAGCGAGATAACAGCTGGTGCAGGTTCAGGAGAGGCTGGAGTTGGGAGACAGGGAGGGGCCGAGGAGACTACCTCCCCCAGGGAGTGAAGAGCTTCTGGCCTGGCACTGACTGGAGTTGAACGGGCTGGGCATGCAGCTGAGAGGCAGATGGGGTGTGGACCTGGGCCAGGCACTTGGGAAGGCCCAGCACCCTCCCTTTCTGCTCAGAGGACTGAGGCTGGGCTGGCAGCCTGTGCGGACCACCCAATTCATCAGAGGGAGGGATTTGGGCAGCTGGAGCCCCAGGTACTGCCCTTGCAAGGAAGGTGGTCCCAGCCAGCTGCCCTCGGCACTCCAGGCTGGCTGAAGCTTCATCAAGGCCAGACAAGGGCGTGGTCTCCCCAGAAAAGAGACCCTCGGCAGGCTGGGAAGGGCTGGGGCTGGGGCAGGGACGGGGAAGGTGGAGGTGATGAGCAGATCCAGACAGCAACGTGCCCCAGCCCTCGAGCCCAGGCCAGGGATCCCGCCTATGTCTGCACATGGGTCAGCTGAATGTCCCCCACTACATCCAGCTTGTTGATGCTGGGCAGGTTCTGCAGGCGGTGCTCGTAGTCACACAGGTGCTGACCATCCCCATCCACCCTGAGGCAGTGGGCTTCACAGGTGATGCACACCTGGACAGAGAGGCCACGTCATTTGCACTCACTTGGAAAGTCCTCAGAACTGAAAATGCAGGCTTCTGTCTCCCTCCCTCCTTCCTGCCTTCCTCACACCTTAATCGAGCAGGTGCCACACTTGCCTCACAGCTGCTCTGAAGGGTTCATTCTTCACTCAACATGCCCTGGGCTCTCCTGCCCCTGTGCTTTTGTATATTCTGTTCCCACTGCCCAGAATGCCCTTCCTCCTGTGCTCCCCACTCTGCTCCCCTTGCCCACACGGATGACGGCTCCTCACCCTTCAGGATTCTCCCCCCTCCCTCCAGGAAGGCGAGCCTTCCCTCCCTTCCCCACCTCCTGACACCCTCCTAGTTGAGTCAGGAGCCCCCTCAGGCCGTGTCCCCCACCCCATCCTCATTCTCCAATTGGACCCTGAGCCTCCAGGGCAGGAACGCTGGCTTGTCCGGCCTTGTCCCCAGAACCCGGCGCACAGGAGGGCTCCACGCCTCCACTCCTGCAGCGGCAGCCTCCTAACCTGTCTTTTCCATCCAAACTTTCTCCAGGAGGCCCTCGGAGCACATCTGTGAAAATGTCATCACCCCCATCTCAATAGCTGACACTAGTACACACTGCACACCAGGCACTCTCCCAAGCATGTCACAGATATGATTTCAATTCATTCTCACAACTCTATGAGATAGATGGTATTACTGGCCCATTTTTTAGATGAAGGAACCAGGGCACAGCTCAGTAAAGTAACTTGCTTAAAGTCACACAGCTACCTGGAAGTCAAAGTTTAGTGCCCTTTGGCTTGAAACACACCAACACACTGTATTAAAATCTCAGCTCCTTTCCATGGCCCTCATGGCCAGACATCAGTCATTTCAACCCTGGGGGAGGAGCACCAGGGTGTAGTTAAAAACACAGAATCCAGGGACTGGCCCCATGACCGAGTGGTTAAGTTCACGCACTCTGCTTCAGCAGTCCAGGCTTTCGCTGGTTTGGATCTTGGGCCAAACTCAGTATCATTCATCTGATCATGTTGAGGCAGCGTCCCACATAGCAGAACCAGAAGGAACTGCAACTAGAATATACAACTAGGACAGGAGGGCTTTAAGGAGAAGAAAAATATTATTGGCAACGGATGTTAGCTCAGGTGCCAATCTTTAAAAAACAAATAAATAAAAAGTGCTAACAGATTCTGTGTCTGCTCAGAACCTGAAAACAAAAATATACGAGGCCCAAGCTCAACCCCTCCTTGGCCCAGGTCAGCTCCAGGCATTGCTTTTCCTTCTTTAAGCTCCCAGGGGTTTGACTGTGTGGTCTGGGCTAAGAACACCTGCTCTGTGTGAGCCGGGCCTCAGCCACCCCACCCACACCTCTCTGTCCTCACTGTCCTCCCGGGAGCCCCCGTCCCCTGGTCCCAGACAGGCCACGCCCAGGACTCTGCCTCTGCAGTAACAGCGGCTCCCTCGGCTGCCCACCCCAACGCACCTACAGATCTTTGCGAGGCAGCTCCTTCTGCCACTGGGGTGTCAACGGCATGGTGGCCTCCTCGGAGAGCTGTCCCATCTAAGGCAACACAGCCCCTGCCCCGGGGCTCACTCTATCCCTCTAGTCTGTCTTGCTTTCTGCAGAGCGCCTGTTCTTATCTGCAAGGGTCTGTCCATGTGTTTGTTTCCTCCTTCCTCTGCCTCCTAAACGGCGGACTCTGCGGGGCAGGGAGTCTGTCTGCTCCATGCTGTTCCCCCAGGCCCTGGGGTGCTTCCTGCATAAAGTTGGCCCTGAGAGAATAGCTGAAATGATTGTTGAATGAATGAGTGAATAAAGGGATGACACCTCCTTCTTGGGCTCCATCTGGCACTTATCGCTGTGTGACCTCAGGCCAGTAACCTGCACTTGTGAGTCTGTTTCGTCATCTGTAAAGAGCAGATAGCATCACCTACCCCATGTGAGACAGTAACAGTAAAATAATAACAACAAGTGGTTGAACACTTTCTCTTCTTCTGGGTGCATTCCTCACCCCAGAGGCATCAGCTCCCATCTCGTTCGAGGGGTGCCCAGATGCCCCCCTCCCCTGCTCCTTTGCTCCGTGAGAGTCTCTCTGAGCTGCGACTGGGACAGCTTACAGAGAAGCTCCCGCCTCAGGTGAAGGGCATTTTTCCAGGCAGAATTTTCTCCTCAAGCCCCCAAGAGCCGTTGATCTGCGTGTTGCGGACCACGGCGTTCTCCTCGAAACAGGGGTTCAGGTGGAAGGCGATGTCACTCCCAGAGCGCAGGTTGATGTGGAACCTGGGGGTGGGCAGCTCACATGGACCTCCTCTGACCACTGAGCTCCAGGTCCCTGCCCCTCCCCAGCCCGCCCAGAGCCAGGGCGACGGCCAGAATGACCCTGGGCTGTCTCTCCTCTCTGAGACCCCTGGCTTACCACTGAGCACTGGGCAGGATGGTGCCCAACACCATGATGCTCCTGGAGGTGTACAGCCCACCCGGGATGCTGGTGAAGAACGGATACCGATGTTGGGAGGAGAGGGCCAGATCAGCTAGCGGCAGCTAGAGCAGCCGCCACGAGATGGAGAACTTTTGCCAATTTGCATGAATTTGGACGGTCAACTGAGTTTGACAACTGTGCCTGTGAGTAAAGAACTCCGTGATACCTTTACTTGGTTCAGTAAATGCCAGATGAAAACTTCCCAGCCTTCCTCAAATGAATGGGCTTAAACCATCACGGAAAGATCTTTGGACAGACAGAAAAGGACACTTGGGCTGAGAAGGGAAGGCCATATGTTACGTTCATATGAAGGGACAATTTTAAAGGTGAAGCTCCTGTCAAGAGTTTTGTCATTTATTTGGATGTTTTTAGGAACTTCAGCTCACTAGAGCACCGTTTTACTCTTGTCACTGCCCCTCGCCTCCCACCCTGCCCAATGCCAACAAAACCTCCGTCTGGCACTGAGAATACAGCTACATAGGCTGGGTTGGGATAAGCCATAGGAGGGGTGTGGGATTCTGTTGAAAAGAGACCAGATAATTCATGTGGGAGTGACACACTCACGGTCCCCACACATTTGAGAGGGGATGTTCCAATGGGACACTGAGGTCTTGAGGCCACAGCCCTTGGATTCACCATTACCTTCCGTCTCACATCAGCCTTGGCAGAACTTCCTGCCTTGTCATGGACCCCACCAAGGCCACCTGTTCCTCAACCTCTGCACAGGCAGCCCCACTGACTCCAGGCCTCCCGTCTGATGTGCACTGGCAGGAGGAGGAGCACCAGCTCCATCCTGTGAGCAGCAGTGACATCCTGGGGCTTGTCCCCGGGATGCAGGGCCTCCCCTCCAGATGCTGGACCACTGACTCCCCTCTCAGTGACAGAAGGAGCCGAATTCCTCCTGGTGCCTAGGGGACCTGCCTTTGGGACCCCTGGGTGAGCCCAGCCTGCTGCAGACTCTGCTGTCCCCAGAAGAGTTTCACTCCCTGTCTCCTGTGCAGAGGACGCAGCCCCAATGTCCCCATCCCCTTGCTAAACTGTTTTCTCCCTGAGTCTGGGCCCAGAGAATTCAGTCCCTGGGGAAAGGGGATGCGGTGGTGCTCTGAGCTGAGCAGAGCTTTCAGACTCACCAGACTTTGTGGAGGGGCGCTCAGCTCAGAGTCAATCGTTGTTTGCTTCTTGAAGAAAGAAACTCAGGTTTTAACCAGGCCCCTCCAGCATGGAGACCACCACCTGCCACCAGAGGGCACCACCCAGCACAATTCTCTGAAGTGAGTTAATCCTGAGCATGTAACCAGCTCTATGGCCCCAACCAGACCCTCAAATTGCAGGATAGGGGTGTTTCCTCTCTCAGGGAATGATGGAGAGCCAAAAGTTAACTCTGGATAATAAATATGGCTGCACTCTGGCCTCTGGCCCACCTTTCCTCTCGGTGCAGTTTCAGCAGCACGGCCTCACTTGGCAGGGGGATGGAAGGTGGGGCCTCGGTCTTCTGTGGCTGCCCACAGTGGCAGAGGACTGAGCCAAGAAGTGTGATTCTGGGTCTTTCCCAATTCATAAGGATCCACCCCACAACTCCCTCCCCCAATACCTCAGCCAGGCAGATGGTCAGGGTGTCACACACCCTCCTATGGGAGAGGCACAATGCCTGGCCCTGCCTCCTCCTTTTAACTCACAGAAAGAACCAAAATGAAGAGGGTCAGAAGAGAGAGTGAGACTGGAAATGGGAGCGGGGTTGGCTGGCCTGATCCCTGGAGACTAAAGGGATGAGGAAATCAAAATGGTGGTTAACATTGGTGCCCCATGATGATAAGACCATGGCAGAAATGTGGTCAGAAATGCCCCCCCTGACTTGTCCTCGCCTCCTTCCTGCTCCCATCAGCCTTCCTGAGCCTGTGGCCCCAGATCTCGCCGTCCTCCCAGGTTCACTGTACTTAGGAAGGGGGCTGGGCCAGGGTTGGAGGAGGGGAGCATCTCCATTGGCACCTCCAGAGGGAGAGGAGGACCTGTCTGATGTAGACCTGCCAGCTTCCCTCAGCTCCCATTGCTTCCAGGGCCGTATTTCACCCAGAAGGGGAAGACTAGCATTTACTGAGGGCCTGTCATGTGCCAGGCTGGGGCTCCAGTGCTCTCTGAGGGAGGCAAGCTTAGCTCCTGTTCCACTAGTGAGGAAACCAGGCTCAGAAAGGTTAAGCAACTTGCCCAAGCTCACCCAGGGAGCAAGTGATAAAGTCCAAAATGGTGCCCAGTTCTGTCTGGTTGTGTCCACCCACCCTGTCCTCCCCAGGCCAGGGCCCAAGTCAGGCTGCCCTGGGGACCCACAGTCCTGCAGCCAGAGTGGCAGGAGGCAGGTGCCCGAGCTGGACCGTGATGAGCCACAGGATGGCTGAGTGGGGAGACACCCCTTCCCCAGCCCTCACTGCTCCAGGAGACTAATGAGGGAGCAGGTCCTGCTCCCCTTCCTGTCAGGAACCCTGTACCCACTCAGCTGACTGATCTTCTTTCCCTGACTGGTTTCCTCTTCTACTGGCTGTGCAAATCACATTCTTGATTCATTTATCAAATCCCTACTGCATGCCTGGCACTGTGCAGAGTGCTGGGGATACACACAAACCACAGTCCCAGCAGGGCTCATGGGCTTGTGAAAGGAATGGGTAGAGTCATGGGGACAGACACGTAAGCACAATTACACCAGAACGTGGTGATTGGCATGACACAGACATGTATAAAGCCCACAGTGACATGGGGGGTGGGGTGCTGGGGCATCCAGTGATCTGCCAGGCAGGGAAGATGTCACTGAGGAGCAACATTTAAGCAGAGCATTGAACGGCCTATAGGGGTTGGCTGTGGGTGAGGTGGCAAAGGGTGCTTTCAGCCCAGGAAAGCATGTGCAAAAGCCTGGTGGCCCCAGAGAGCCTCAAGTGAGCAGTGGAGGCTGCTTGAGCTTCATGGGGGAGGGCTGAGGCCAGGAGCTGCGCTGGGGCAAGACTGGGGAGGATGCTGCATGTCCTGCTGGGGAGTCTGCCTTTGTTTAGAAGGACTTGGGGACTTCAGGATTTTTAAGCAGGGAGAGGATGTGACCAGATTTGCTTATAGGAAGGTCACTGCTGCAGTGGGAGGGTGTGAGGGGAGTGGGGAGCTAGACCCCAGTCCTTGTTTGGCTGGACCAAACAGTGGCTTTGGGAGGGAGAGGCGTTGGTGCCCTGGAGAGAGATTAGAGGAGGGAGGGAAGAACCAGGATGACTCCCTGGGTGCCTGGTGGAGAGAGACAAGGAAGCTTTGGTGGGGGCTCTAGATGCTGGCTGTCCTGCTGGCTGGAACCAGCCTCTCTTCTCTCTGTCCTTCCTGCTAACTGCTCCGCTTCCCAGATTCTCCATGTGTAACTCATTTGCAGCTTGTGCCCCTTGGGCTTGTGTGGGAAACAAGCAGCCTGGGAGAATGGCCTTGTGGAGAAGGCAGGCTGGACAGGGCTTTGGGGGTGTCCTGTTAAAACAAATGGCACCACAGGGTGAAGAGAAGCATTAATGAAGCCAGGGAAGAGCAGAAAGATAGGGACTGGGGCCAGAGGGAGAGAGCCAGGCAGGCGGGGGGTGGGGAGGGTTTTCAGGACCACTTGGAGGGGCAGCGGGGATGATTAGGCTCCTATAGGTGACAGCAGAATGATGCTTTCTCTCTCTCTCTGCACCCCTTTCTCTTTCTCTCACTCTCTTCATCTCTCACTCTCTCTCTGTCCCTCCCCGTCTCCATCTCTCTCTCTTCCTACCCCTGCAGGGGAGACAGTTGGGTAGGGAGGAATATGAGTGATGAGGACGAAAGAGAGAGGAGCTAATATTTGCTGACAGCTTCCGTGTGTTGACCTTATCTCAGGAGTGCACTCAGATACGGAAAGTGGTAACAACAGCTCCAGTCCAGCCTCCTGATTTTCCCGGACCAAAGTGAGTCCACTCCCTGGTGAGCTAAAATCAAAACCTACACCGGGGGTCGTTGTCACAGAAAGCTGGACTTCATTTGAAGCATGCAGCAAACAAAAGGAGATCACAGGGAACAATTTCACAAAGCTATGGCTCCCTGAGCACCAGGAAGTGGGTGCCTTTGTTCTGGGTTGGGAATGAATATTCAAAAGGGGAAGTTTTGTCATCGAATGTAGAAGTGGGCATAAGCTTGCGCTTATGTGGTTTGAAAACATGCTGTTACATACATTGCATGTTCTACAAACGGCTGCTTCATCCCTCCCAGAGGAGGAGAATTGAGGATGTTCATGAGGGCAGATTACTTTAGTAAATATTTCCACCCATTTGTGCAGGTGTCACTATTGCAGTCGTGGTCTGGACCCATCTGATCAGGTCAGAGAGGTTGTGTCCAGGACCTTTAGATCTTGGTTGGGTTTAGATATGAAACCGACAATCTCTAAGTTGTTGGGGAAAAGAACATCTGCACCCTGTTAATAAGACAAGAGACTAGGTTAGACAGGACAAGAGAAAAAGAGGTTAGAGTCCATGCCTGGTGACAGTGGGGCCGTGTGAGAATGTGGGCCCAGCATACCCTAATCGCCCCAGTTTTCACAAAAGGCCAGAAATCCACATTTCTGTGTGATAGTTCCTGACATTTTTTGAAAATTATGGTAAAATACACATAAAATGTACCATTTTAACTATTTTTAAGTTTACAGTTCAGTGGCTCTAAATATGTTCATACTGTTGTGTAAATATCACAACCATCCAGCTTGAGAACTTTCTCTTCATGCAAAACTTCCCCTGACCTTTTAGATGTTGGCAACACATCCAAAATTTTTAAAACACAGAGGTGGTCAAGTAGACCCTGGTGCAGGCCCATGTGGTAGATCTTGTAACCTCTGACACTTATTGCCCTGTGAATTGACACAGCAACCTGTGGGGCAACAGTGACTATGCCCCTTCCACAGATGAGGAAATTAAGGCTGGGAAAGGCAAAGTCGCTAGTGTAAGATCCCACAGCCAATGAGGATGGCAGAGCTAGAATCTGAGCTGGATTCAGTTCAATTCCCAATCCTGGGTTCTTTCTGGAACCGCATCACCTCCTAATCAGGGTGCAAATAGAGAGTGACAGAGAGGAGTGGCCTAGGAATCTGGGAGACTGAGGCAGGTGTTCTGGAGAGAGACAGCAACACAAGAAGGACAGGACACGGGAGCTGGAGATGTGCCCCCAGAGTCACCTGGGTTTGGGTTCCCCCAAGGGGGCCTAGTTACAGCTCCACTGGACCTGCCTCCAGCCCCTGGGACAGGTGCCGGGTGGACCATCTGACCTGGAAGCTGATGGAGAACAGCTGCGCAGGGCCAGTGACAGAGAGGGTGTCCATGCCATGGAAGGGCAGATGGTGTGTGTACTGCACTGAGAGGCTCCCGTTCACCACCACCTGCCAAGACGAGCGCATGCTTTAGGAGAGGGGTCCCAGGCCAGGAAGGGGAGCACACCTGAGCCCCTGCTTTTAGAAATTGAGGCGTACATCTGATCTTCACATCCACCTCCTAGAGGTCAGAGGCACCAGCCTTCAGAGCTGTGCCAGTTATAGGAACATGTGTGTGATCCAAAGGGCATCCACACTCAACCTTCTGCTTGGCTCTACTCGTTGGCTTTTTAGTTCTTACGGTTGTTCGTTTATTGCAGGAGGTTTGTCTTTCTAATCATAACTCACTTGGGGTGTTATTTAAATATGCCTAAAATGTTCATACGGGACAGAGGAGAGGCGACCTGGGCTGCACATGGGGGGATGGGAACATGCACCTTCACAGAGATGTGGGGATACAGATACGCTCACCTTCCCCTGCCCGGATAATAGAACCCAGATAAAGGCTGCAACAATGTTGCCAAAAATAAATCTTCTCAGGGACCTGGAGTTGAGGAATGGCTACAGCACCGGGGTGTAACTAACTTGAAGTTTAAAGACCCAGGAGGCCAAAATACACCATGGTGACTTATCTGGTTCTTACTCCCTGAGTGAAAGAAGCAACACGTGCACCTGTAGATGCAGGTGAAGGTGCGTAAGGAGCCTGCAGCCATCAGTAACACCCTTAAAGGAAATGGTCCTGTCATCTGTCTATGGTGTTGCTCAGCCAGATCTCAATGGGTGTGAATATTTCAAGGCTCTTCCCCAGGCCTGTTAGCGCTGAGGGGAGGAGAGCTCCTGCTCACCTGGAAACATGAGCTCTGCACCAGGAAGCTGAACTCAAAGGGACTGTCCCACTGAAGGGGTAGTGGCATCTTCCTCACCTCTGACCCCCAGCGTCCTTTCTGCTTCATGTTGCAGACCACATACCTGCTCTCTTCAAAGTATGGGTTGAAGTGGAAGGCAATGTCATCGTCACTGCGGCCAGTCTGAAAGTCCACAGCAAACCTAGATGAGGGAAATCAGAGAGTCACCTGTAGCCTGGTTTACACCAATGGCAGGAATGGGAGGGCTTTGCCTTTGACTGGTGTCTGTCTCTGGGAACTTGAATGTGACCTGCGATCCTCAGTTTGTTGCCATCCTTTCTGTTGACCTAATTTGCACTTGCTGTGTTCTTCTCTACTTACTGCCTTTTGCCTTTACCATGTGATTTTCTAAAAATAAGTAGAAAACGGGTAAAGAAAAATCGTGATGCTAGCAAGAAGCAGCATAGGTCTTGGAAACTAATTACAAATTTGTGTCAAAGATGGAAGCTGGGAAATGTGCCTAGAAGAGACTTCAGCACCCAGTGGACATTCACTGGAGGCCGGCCCACGTCTGCTCAATTGGGAAGTGAGATAACAAATTTAAAAAACACATCAGATTGTTTGAACTATACCCTACAGAGTCTAAAAGGGGAGGCACAACCAAAAAATGAAATCAAATCAAATCAAAGAGGTGACAGAATAAATATGAACTCTCCAGGCATGAGAACTTTCATTAAATTACATTTGATGGCAAGTATAATATTTCCACATATACTGAATGAGGGTTCTAAGGCAGATGAAGTCAGTTAGGGGAAATAGAGGAAGGGACATTTTTGCCCCTCTGGGTCACAGTGTGCAGAGTTCAACCCTGTAACATAATCACCTGCCTCTGGGCTTGCCCGCTTCTCTCCTTAGGCTATGAGCTCCCTCATCCCTATGTCTACGGGGACTCTATGTTAATGGTGCCCACACGCTATTGGCAGATGGCAGTGGTGCCATTCAGTGTTGGCGGGGGCCGGGCCCTCCTCATCCGGCATGTCCAGGTGCAGGCAGCTCGGAGGGTCCTGAGTGAACCATCCTGAGCTGACAGGCGCCATGGTTTGCTAAGAGTCGAGGCTGCAGAGAAACAAGAGTTCCAGGTACCTGGTTCCACTGGAGGGTAAAACAGTTCCATGGACAGTGATCTGAAGTCCCTCCTGGAGACCCCCTTGGATTGTCTCAGAGAAGGGGGCGACCTGCAGAGAGAAGACAGATTCTCCTCTGAAGCCTTGAGAAGGAAACAGCCTTGCTGACACTTTGAGTTTAGATTTCTGACCTCCAAAACCGAGAGAACAAATTTGTATTGTTTTAAGCCTGGCCACTAGGCTGCTGTGGATGTGGGCCAGTGTGTGTGTGTGTGTGTTTGTATGTGTGTGTGTCTGCATGTTGTAGTGTGTGTGTGTGAGGGAGGGATCTCAGCAGGCAAGAACACTCACTTTTGCTCTGTATGGCGTAAGAGGGCGGGTTTTGCGCTGGTTTTATGGTCCCACAGGCCTGGGCTCGCCTCCAGCTCCTGTGCTGGCAGCTCTGCTGTTGGGTGGTCACTGAGCTGTCTGCACCCAGTTCCCTCCGTGGGACGGCGGCACCAGAGCCCCAGCCTGGCCGTGGTCTTGGGAGGATTAGACAAGGTGCCGCCTGGAAGGCCCTTGGCTTGCAGGTCTGACAGCGGCCGCTGTTGGCATCAGGGTGACTTCATCCCTGTGCCGGCTCAGGACTGCTCTCTCCTCTGGCCGTGCCTGGAGCCTGAGAACTTTTCCTTCCCTTCCTGTCCAGAAGTGAAGACAGCAGAGCCAGGCCCTACAGGCCAGAGGGTGGACAGCCTCCTTCTGGAGGCCCAGTGTCACCAGAGGGCTCCCAGGCCCCTTGGCAGAGGGGGCTCACCTGCAGGAGGCAGTGCGAGGCTTACAGCCAGAGGGCGCTGTTGCCCAGAGGTCCCGAGGCCCTTCTGGTGGCAACCTTCCCTGTCTGCATTTCCTTGTTATCCTCACAACAACCCAGGCCATTCTTAGTGACACTTTCACAGACAAGGAAACTGAGGCACAGAAAGATGTGGTAACTTGCCCAAAGCCACATAGCTGGTGAGTGGGGTTTGAACGCCAGCACCCATGCTTGTTACCACCACACAGCCTCCTTCTCATGAGGAAACACAGAACATCCTCACTCTTGGCTCACCGAGCGCTTCTCTGGACCAAACAGCGAGTCCTGTCCTGCCTGTGGCCGCAGCCTCGTCCCGGGCCTCTGAGGAGCTGGGACTGAGCAGCACAGCCGGCCGCATGCCCTTACCACCATACTTCAGAGGCAGCAGCATGGTCCCTGATGCTGGAGGTCAGCAGGTCCCCAGGGAGCTCCCAGTCCCCGTGGGGACCGCACCTGTCTTCTTTCCTGTCTGGACTCCAAGGGCCTGTCTGAGCTCTATGCTGCCCACAGGAGGACTGTTGTCCTGATCTGAAAAATCTGGCTTTTGAATCCAAGGATTGGAAAGTAAAAACCAGTCACCAGAATGATACAGTGGCAGGGCCTGGCCGGGGTTCCAGGATCCCCATCTGATGGAGAATTTTCCCAGGGGGACACATTCTGTCCCAGAGGCCCTGCCGCCTGCCTGCCTTCCCCATTATCGCTCTCTGTGGGCACTTCCCTCCTCTGGGGTAAATCGAGTCACCTTCCTTCTCTGTCTCTTACCATCGGGGACTTGTGTCCCGTGGCCCCATCCTCTCTGAGCCACAGTTCTTCCCTGTGTGATGCGTGGATGACAAGCCTCATGGGGTTGAAACGAGGCCGCCTGCAGACAGGGCCTCCACACAGGTGGCACAAAGGTGCACAAGGCCGCCCTCTGTGCCCCACACTGCAGGGACAGCCCCACTCCTCTCATTCTGAAGACGGCCCCTCTGCAGACAGCCTGGACCCGCCCTGGCCTCGTGACCTCACCTCAGGGAGCACCAGCTCCTCAGGGGCCTTCCCTGCTGTGCCCAGACTCCTGCCAAAACCGAGCCCTTCTGAAGCCCCGTGTGTGCCAGGCACGGTGCAGGCACTCCCGAGATGCTGCCTCCCTCCATCCTCACCCCAACCCTGGGAGGGGGACAGGGTCATCCTATTCTACAGATGTGGAAACTGAGGCCCACAGAGGTCAAAGGAACTTGCCTGAGGTCATCCAGCTAGTCAGGGGCTGAACCCAGGAAGGCCAGCTCCAAAGTAAGTGCCCTCAACTGCCGTGCTGGGTTGTCACCCTCCCCAGAAGTCCTGTTTACTGCCCTTCATGTAAACAAAACATCACTCTTCTCGTCAGTACTCACGCCTGTCTTCTACCCCCTCCACCAGCAATAGGACCAGGCCCTCAGAGGGAGCTCAGGAACCCTTTGTCACACGCACGAGTCCTGGTGCTCATCACCCTCCAGTCCTGAGAGGTGCAGGGGAGACCAGCGTGGAGCAGAGCCTGTGTCAGGATCGCCTCATCTGGCATCCTGCCCTTCTTGTGTTCTCTTGAGGATGCCCCCCTCCCCTAGCCCCTGCCTCCCAAGAGTTGTTTCCTCAGAGACCCAGAGCTGCTTTGCCCCAAGGCCAGCACCAGAAAAGAAAACTTGCAGCAGAATCCAGGGCCTCTGCCCCAGATCTAAGCTTTTGCGGGACAACCACAGGTAGACTACAGACTCACAGTGACTAAATGCACCAAAGACTGATGTATGTCCCAGAGGCCAGGTGTTCATTCTGAGAACAGCCCATGGCTACAGTCCCCTGGGGTGCTACACCCAGAGGTGCTGGGTGAGCAGCAAATCAGCCCAAAGTGAGGGGTAAGTCTCAAGGAGTCCCCAGAGGCAGCATGCAGGGCGGTCACAGCGTGGACCCTGGAGCCAGGAGACACGGTTTCAGACTCTGGCCTCCCACCTACGAGCTGGTGACTGAACCCTCTGAGCCCTGGTTCCATCTCTGAGAAATGGACGTGATCGAAAAACCTGTCTCTCTGGGTTTGTATGAGCATTGACTGAAATAGTGTGTGTGTAATACCTGGTACTCAGGTGCTCAGTAAATATTAGGGAAAAATATTAGTATAACATTATTTCATCAGGACCCAAGGTCTGAAGAACCACAATTGTCTTCCTAAAGTTGTGAGGACTCCCTGTCCCCTTGTCCCCGAGTTTCAGGCTCTCTCACCTTCCCCTGGACAGTGGGGGTCATGCCAGACCTGGCTTCTCTGACCCCCACTTTCCTATTGTGGCCACTCTCTTTAGGGGGACACAGTCTTTGGGGGCATCGTTATCACCGAGGAAACCCAGGCCAGGGAGCCAGTCCTCTGGGCTGGGAGGCCCTTGATCACGGATTCCATTAGTTCTCCTCTCCTGGGGCCTGTCACCCTGTGCTGTGCACCCCACATAGACTGAGAGCCTCCCGTCGGCACAGGAAGGGGGTGCTCCGGACCCTCCCTAGGACAGCATCTGCTCCCGGCTAGGATGGCCAGGAGGAGCCACACTCTCCTGGCCCCCGTGGCCTGGCCCTGCCCATCGCCCAGGGAAGGTGGGGGCAAATGAGATCCTCCGTGGTCAAGCAGTAGGAAATTAGACGCCATGAAAATGCACGGAGGTTATAAACTCTGGGATCCGAGGAGACACTCAGGGTGTGTTAGGCCCCTTCTCTGACCCTCTGGATACATGTGCGTTAGCCTGTGGGACGGACGTTCCTCACTCCTGCAGTTATTTGGCGCCAGGAACAGTGAAGGTCACACTTGTAACTACTCATTTGTTCTTCACAACAAGCCCACATGCACGGGCCTGCTATCTCTGTTTTAGAGACAAGGGAAGAAATCCTGAGAGGTTGACTCTTGTACCCAAGGTCACAGCTGGTAAGTGATGGGTCAGGGGCTTGAACCTTCAGAGCTCACCCTTTCTACATGTTTTCCACATTTCTCTATTCTGTCACCAAGCAAGCTGCACACACAGGACTATTGTGGGGACTGAAGAGACAACGCATGTAAAATGCTGGCAGATCGTCATTACTCCACGAAGGCTAGCTGCTACTGTTATTCTTACAATGATTATTATGTGTATTCTTTATGTCTGCCTCCTGTACTAGGTAGTGAGCTTTCTGAGGGCAGACACTGAGTCCCATCCCTTTTTGTAGCCCGGGGTCAGCCCAGTCTATAGATGTGACAAGATAAATTTTCGAAAGAAAAACAAGTGAATCAGTCAGTCAACAAAAAAGCAGCGAGGTGAGCAAAGGGATGAATGGGCAGACTGCCCTGCCTCTGTTGTTGGAAGACGGTCCCAAGGAAGCATCCCTTCCTGCTGGCCTACCCGGCGGGCGAGGACTGTTGGCAAAGCTGCTTTAGTGCAGGCTGGGGTGACCCACCCACTCAGCAGGAAGGACAGGCTTAGCTGCCCACAGCACAGGCCCGGCCCAGCCCGGCAGCCAGATCAGGACGCTTTGACTAGAAGTAGGACAAAGGGACTCCCACCAGGACCTCAAACCGCCCTAGTTAATCTCTGACCAAACCCCCTTCACTCAGGCCCAGATTTTATTTGCATTAAGGAAAGACCACAGCAAGCCAGTCTTTGAGAGGACAGGAGAGAAGTGTCTGCTGGCACTAGCAACGATGCCAACGGTGCCACCTGCTTGACTGGTAACCCCTGTGGCCGCCAGTGCCTTTGTGTCTTGTCTCCACTAACCACTGGCCTTGGGAACTGGGCACCCGCTTCACTTCCTGTCCTTTGTCACTTAACTCTTTTCCCAAAGGGGAGGGCCACAGAATCCCAAACGCTTGGCTCTCTGTTCAGAACTTTCAGGGAAGTTTTGGCAGGAAAGGACCATTCCCTGCCGGGACAGGCAATGCTGTAGACTCTGTGGGTTTTGTTGATCTGTGCCGTCCTCCCCATTCATTAGGAAAACTGGGCTTGGTTCTAATGACTGGATTTGTCCTAGGGACAAGGAAAGGTTTGTCTCAACGCCCATTATCTCCCAGCCAGATGCTCTGTTTAGGCAGAGTCTGTAGTCAAGCCCCGTGGGGTTTGGAGGGCTGCACAGGGAGGGGTGAAGGCCACGCTCTCCCCATGGAGAAGCCACAGGCCTGGTCAATGTTGGGGCCCTCTTGAGCACCCCAGCCTCAGGGGATGCTGGTGACCCATGCTCATGGAACCAGGCAGGAGAACAAAAGGAGGGCACATTTCCTGGGGGAGCTGGCCTGCCCATCAGGGAGCTCTGGAGGGATTCTGCTGGCATCACCAGAGGCTTCTTTTTCTTTCTGCAGCCTCACCACCCTCCTGGGGGAACTCTCCAGCCAGGCCAGCCGAGGTCTGAGCTCTCTGCCAGGGGAGCACCTCGGAGATTTCCCAGGCGACCAGCCAGCTCTGGTCCAAGGCATCATGGAGTGAGTGGTGGATGGCCCTGCACCCGACCAACGCATGCGCCTGGAGACCCTCGATGACAGCAGTGAGACCCCTGCGTGGGAGCCCCAGCATCCTTCAGCCACCCCCCAAACCGCCTGACAGGCTAAGCCCAGGCCTGTGCTGTGGGAGGCCAAACCTGTCCTTCCTGCTGGGTGGGTGGGCCACCCAAATCTGCACTAAAGCAGCTTTGTACACAGTCCCGCCCAGTGGGCAGGCCAGCAGGAAGGGATGCATCTTAGGGACCATTTGCCCAACATCAGAGGCGGAGGAGTCTTTTTCCATTCGTTCTTTTGCTCTCTAGCCACTTATTGTCAATTGACCAATTCATTTATTTTCTCTCAAAATTTTAACTGGTCACATCTGTGTACTAGGCAGCTCCTGGGCCACAAAAATGAATGAGACTCAGTGTGCCCTAAAAATGCTCACTAGCTAGAACAGGAGTCCGACTAGCAAGAATATTCAGAATAAATATTATTATAATAATAACAGTAGCAGCTGGCGTTTGTTGGGTAATTAGTATATGCCAGCATTATACATGCATCGTCTCTTCAGTCCCCACAATAGACGTGTGTGTGCAGCTTGCTTGGTGACAGAATAGAGAAATGTGGAAACCGTGTAAAAAAGGTGAGCTCTGAAGGTTCAAGTCTCTGACCCATCGCTTACCAGCTGTGACCTCGGGCACAGGAGTCAACCTCTGGAGAACTGCTAACTTTGTCTCGAAAATAGAGATGACAGAGCCTTGCTAGTAGGGTTATTTGAAGAACAAATGAGTAGATACATGTGCAACCGTCACAACACCTAGCACCAAACGCATGCAGGACAGGAGGAATATCTGTTTCCCACAGGCTAATGCACATGTATCCAGAGGGTCAGAGAAGGGGCCTAACACACCCTGAGGGTCTCCTCAGATCCCAGAGTTTATAAACTCCCTGCATTT